TATTACGGAACTACGGGAAATGTGGCGTTTGGTATTTTAAAATTTCATGTATGTCTACCTGCCTTGGTAGCGCAGTAGGTAGCGCGTCAGTCTCATAATCACAAATCAAGAGCTAATAGAAGGTCGTGAGTTCGATCCTCACCCGGGGCAAGTTTTTTTTTTTTTTTTTTTCAACTTTATAAAAATAGAAGTACAACGTGATTTAGCTATAGTTAGCATCTACGCACTAAGCCATTTTCGGGAGTTGGAGCATCTGCAGATAGGCGCGGTAGACTGTGATGTCGATTCTGAAATCAGTAACCGATCAGTTTACAAAGCTGTTAACGCCACGGGCGGTAATTCTGGATGTGAACACTGACCAGTCAGGGATTTCTATACCGTAATATTGAAGCTTGACTTTCGTCTGGGGGTCCGAAGGTCGTGGGTTCAGGTCCTGGCGGAGCAGGACTGTTTTTTTTTTCGGGGGGTGGTGGGGTGGAGGGTTAAAATGATTTTGGCTTCCATGTCAACCCAGCCTTAAATGGGTAACAGGCAAGTAAAGGAGGTCGCATGATGTTGACCACATAACCCACCCAGTGCCGATTCATCTATAAGATGTAGGACTATCGCTATGTTAAGGTCTAAGGGGAATGGCGCTGCGAGGATTTACCAGGAGATCTGGCCGACGCTCAACACTCAGGAGAATGATGAGACGGATGTGCTATCAGATGGCTACTGATATCATCGGCAAACTCTTCGCTTGCTGCTGAAAATAGGGACTGAGCACTTATGGGAGTGCTGTAATGTCGATTCTCAATTCATCTTCTTCTTTCTTCTTTGCGTTCGGTTTCGTATGCTCAGATCAGACCATTCAATTCAACGTTGAACATTCAAATTATTGTTGTCTTAGAGCATTCAAGCTTATTTAATTTTATTGTTTAAAAGTTGTGATTTATTTTTTTCTGGAAAACATGGCAGAAGCCAGTGGTCCCTGGTGAGAGCAACGTTTTTTGAGAGAGTGATCTACATAATACGCTAAAATTGCTTCTGCCACATTAACCGGACGCAGGAATCTAGCCAATTTGGTTTGAAACGCATTCTCAAGGAATCCTGTAAACAATGTTTTAATTAATAGTGGCTTGTGGCTGATCTCTGCATCCTGTTGTTTTAATCTGTATTGTTTTTATGGCGTAACTAACACCACCTGGAGTGTGTTACAGTTACACTGGAGGGTTGAGTTAACAAGTTTAATTTTTGCGTTAGCTGTCTGTTGTTTAACTCTTTAATAATAAAGCAACATATTTTGTTCGATGTATGATAAATCTTCTTCTTCTGCACGTTCACCGGCTGTAAACTCCCGAGTAATATTCTGGTTTCTATCTACCTCTCGACTTTAGACATGTTCCAGAACACGAGTGTTACGTGCTCATCCATTTTACAGATCTGACTTAATTGTATGCAGCCTGTTGTTTCCTGGCTTTTCAGGCAGAGGCAGTTCGACTTAAAAGGAAACCCCCAAACAGTCGACTCCTATGACATGCTTGCTGGGAAAGCAGTGGGTCTATAGGGCCTACTTGTTCCAACAATGGGCTCCGGAACTCAAACGGAGACTGTGAATAAATAAAACCTGGTTCAGTGGAGTTATTACAAACGTATGAAAGGTATATCAGTAGATGTGGCAAATTTAGTTAATGTTAGGAAGCAAGCTTGCACCTCAGGTGGGCCAGGAGATTTCTCCATGTGCATGCTGATACGCATTCCAAAAACAAGTTGTTTTTAATTGTACCCTTGGCTGTCTATTGCTAACTCTTTAATAATACAGCAAAATGTTTTGTTCGATGTGTGATACAGTAAAACCTGACTCAGTGGCTTTATTACAAACGTATGAGATGTATATTAGTAGAAATGGCAGAATTAAGTTAGTGTTAGGAAGCACGCTTGCACCTGGGGTCGCCAGAAGAGTATTCCATACGCATCCAGACACCTAACCCACTGCTTGAGCAGTCGAAGGATGCCGTCATGGCTGAAACCACAAAAAGATAACAAATATATTTTGGCTCTCTTAATAGTGATCCTAATTGTACAGAAAGAATTACAAAGGTCAGATTTTTAAGAGCATGCATCTTTCCCATTGCAACATACGCCTGTGAGACCTGGACACTTACTAAACAAGCGGAACAGCGCATAAATGCATTTGAATATAAATGTTACAGACAGGTTCTAAGAATATCTTGGGTAAAGAAAAGAACAAATGCATCCATTCTTCAAGAGCTGAATATTAAAGAGGGTTGGCTAGTAAAGACAATAAAACAAAGAAAATTGAAATATTTTGGTCACTTGAAACGTCATGGAAGTCTAAAGAGAACAATAATGGAGGGGTATATGCCTGGGAAGAGAGGAAGAGGAAGGCCAAGGAGAAGATGGGTGCAGGATGTGGCGGATGATCTCCAGATGGGTGTATCAGACGCAGGACATCTTGCTTAGGATAGGAAGGTTTTCCGGAGGGTTGTTATGGCAGCGAGGTTCCGCGAGGGACATGCTACTGAATGAATGAATAGTGATCCGTACAGCATCAGCATCAAGTAGCAGGTCTTTTGCAGAACATCGCTCTCATCATGGTCTTCCTGAAAGAAACTCGATCTTTCACCAGCTCTCTCGCATAATGTATTTTCATATTCAAGGAGTCACTTATATCCTGTTCCCATCTTCGTTTTGGTCGGCCCCTGCCTCTCCTACTTGGTACCATGCCTTCTGCTATAATTTTTTTTACAAGTCAACCATGGTGCTTGATATGAGCACAATGTTTCAGCTTCTGAAATAAGTCGCTGCTGATTAGCCAATCTTCCGTGATGTTCAGATCTGTTAAAATGTCAGTATTTGACCAGCACAGGGTATGCAGTTAACTTCTTCTAACTATCAAAGTTCCATCTTCACAGGACTTGAATCGCAGAGTTTTTCTTTCCCTATGCAAACTCAGAAACAAGCGAAATGGGCAAGACCAGTTCAAACATTTCGTCATTCAGAGCACATCACAACAGGGAAGAGAAGGCCAACCAAACAGATGAGTGGAGGCGTGTGGCATATGCAGCAATGAACCTCAAGGACTCGAAATGCTGCAGAAGAAGAAGAAGAGCACATCTGATACGGAATGCACGAGTCAAGGAAAGCACGGTAAAACAAATTGTGTGGCTTTAATGGAACCGATGATATGCGGTGATCCAACTACACGACTGCAAGGTGGCCGCAAGCCGTGGAGCTCAAGTCCTTCAGACCTCAGCAAAATATCTCAAGATTTCTTCTTTTTCTTCGTTCACCAGCTGTGAATTTCGACAGAAGACCCCGGTAGATCGTCTATTTGGGCTTTTGGCTTTTACCTGGACCTTAGTTTTGCGTGTTCAACCGTTTTATTGGCTTTTTCCCCGTTCCATGCCTCATGGGCAGATGTACTCCGACTTCGAGGGAAGATGTCAAGCATATCTCTAGGATGAGTGTGGCAATTGTTTTGTGTGGGACGCGATGTTGCCGTCTTTGTGTGGTGTCGTGTTTGTCCCTTTATCGACGGGGTTGCCCCTGGAGTACCTCCTTTAGAGCAGCCCTATGTAGAACGCTTAGGCCTCAAGGGAAGGCGGGGGCAGATGATCGGCATTCCCCGCCACCCAAGGAGACTTCCATAAAAGATGAGCCGACACATGACGCTCTGGTTCTGGGCTCAACCAAGAAATCGTCACGTCCTGCACATGACTGCTTAACCCCACAACCGTATTAGGCCTCCCGCTCTACACGCGCTGCGGCTTTCGGAGATCAGCGGGGAAAGCTCACAGGTCAAGGACTTTTGTGACCACACGAATAGGTAATTTCTTTTTCGTCGGACGTTATACATCTTTAACGTTGCTTCAACTGTACCCTGTCGGCTCTGTTACTGCTCATTTGAGACATTATCCATGGCGCACGGGAGGATGTGCAGCAGGAGTCTTGCATGACGTTCCGTAATACCAGATCATCAAAGGGCTGGCGCCCGAGTGAGGTACGGAGTATCTCCTTATACACCTCACATCGGACTTCACTTTCTCTCACGTCTGTGACAGAAGTTACCGCGTCACATCTCCAGACAATCTGTAAGACGTTTTGCGGCCCCGTAACCATATATAAGATCTTTCTTTTTTGAGTTATATATTATATATATATATATATATATATATATATATATATATATATATATATATATATATATATATATATATATATATATATATATATATATATATATATTAGCGCCAGATTCATTTGCAAAACAACATTCGGCACCAAGTATCCATTAAATATTTCGCCTCAATTTATTGATCTGTGTGATTGGCCTTCTCTTTTGTGCAAAATATTGAACGTAAAATTTGCTTAGAAAAGCCACAACAGAAAAAAGACTGGAATTGATTCTGCAACGTCCTGTAAAGAATACGCACCTAACTTTTGAGTTGGTGACTCCAAGTATTTGGAGGTTTACATATATACCATCTTTCCACCATCGTCTTAGTCCACATCTTGGTCTACTTCCATTCATCGAGGCTGGGAATTTTTCACGTGGACTTCTAATAATTTCCCCTAGTCTCTGAGTAGTAAGACCGGGCGACCGTGTGTATTGTTGCACACGAAAAAATCTCTTGGCAGTTGGATATTGAAAAGAATAGCCTAACAGCGGTAACCAAGCAAAATTTGAAATTGAAATTCTACCTAAAGTATCTCAGGATTCTCACCGCTGCTACGGAGCTCGTGCACTGCGCTAAGATTCTTCAGACTCAAGCTTGAGTTAGAAGTAGAAAGGAGCATTTATTGGTACCTACCCTTGTGCCATGATGTTGATCCTGTGTATAAACCTAAACGTAAACCTACTTCCATTCAACAGTTTAATGCATTTTGTTCTATGAAAGATAACAGTCTTTTCTTTATTTATACATTCTCCAGAGACGTCAATCTCTTAAACCAATGTGAAACAAACATTCACAAAGACACTGAGGTATAGCGCCAACATGCAGGTGGTTTACAGCGGGGGTTCAACTCCCAAACCGTCGCCACGCATTCGACGTAAGACGGGTTATGGACGTCCCATCATGCCAGGCTACATGACCCATGTCCACCCTCAAGTGATGACTCAGAGGTCACATGAGAACCTCACAGAAGGTGACGTCACTCTCAGAGACTCGATCCCAGCCATGAGCCGATGTGTGGCTAGTATCTGCCTAGTCTTCAACATTTTCCTGCCAGGTGCCGGTAGGTGTTTTTTCTACCTTTATGTTTTTTTTTCCTTCTTTTTTTTTTTTTTCGATCTTGTATTCCAAGTCGGCGTCGGTTTCTTGGGCGTTACCAACGCGCTTCGTAATGCTGGAGTGCGAGTTAGATCCCAGCTAAGGGCCTTGCGCCTTGCTGTGATTTCGACTGTGGTATCGAGAGGCTGACCGTCCAGGAAGCAACGGCAAACTACTGGACGTAAACTTGATTAGAAAAACTACAACAGCCACACACACAAAAATGCTGAGGCTGGTTCTGCAACGTCCTGTAAAGGATACGGAACTCACTTTATATCCCAGACCACTGTGGCAAGAAGGGATATCATCAGTGTAACTGACACAGAACACAAGGGGTCGAGATCTGTGGAGATGCATGAACGCCTACGCCAGTCGGCAGGGCATGAGATGATGATGATCCCAAACTAGAGCTTGCTTTGTCTACCATCTCACAGCCTATCGCCAGCTTCTTAAAAATATAAGTTATTATGTATAGACTTTGGTCTTGTTCCGGAACTTCTATTTTGCGTGTGCATCCGTTTTACAGACCTGACTTATTTAATACATGTGATTCAGCTGTTTTATTTGCAGATACGCGTTTACCTCAGGGGGTCGTGGGATTTTTTTTTTCCGGCTGCCTCTTTCAGTTTACCTTTTTTTTTCACTTTTTACTGAGAAACCTTAGAATCGTCCCTAAAGTTGTGGAGTTTATGCTTCGTGCTACGCTTTCGGTAGCTCTTTTGCTGAAAGAGACGGAGTCAGATGGGATAAATGGAGTCGACTTTCTCGACTTTAATTGTTAAACAGTTTATGCAGAAATAATGTAGTTTATGTGTATATTGCTTTAAAGAGAACCAAACGTTCTTGCTAGTCATAATTTCATTTCACGGCGGCGCCGTCCAGTTCACAATTGCAATTTTTACGAAGATTTCTGAAGATTGCATCCGGAGCTAAGGAGATCGTATTATGTGCGAGGCTTTAGGAAGACAGCCAGCTGTTCTACGGAGAGAAACTAAGCCATATGGGATAAAACCTGGTGTATTGAAGATGATCCTCTCACCTTTACCTTTATCATTACCTTCACCTTTACCTTCACCTTTACCTTTACCTTCACCTTTACCTTCACCTTTACCTTCACCTTCACCTTTACCTTTACCTTCACCTTCACCTTTACCTTCACCTTCACCTTTACCTTCACCCTTACCTTCATCTGTACCGTTACCTTTACCTTTACCTTTACCTTCACCTTTACCTATTAGTAATGTCATAAAATTGTAGATGAGTTTCATATGAACAATTATTTTATTTTGTGTATTCAATTTATTATAAGTTAAATTAGTGTTGTCTTTCTGGTGCATTAATTATACGATGTGTCTTAAAAAATCTTTTTTTAAACATTCTATATTTTGTATTGTCGGTTCTGTTGCTAAGTTGATGCGAACGCTTCGTAATGCCATGGTGCCGGGTTCGATCCCAGCTGCAAGCCATGGGCATTGCGTTGGTTTCGACAGTGGTATCAGAAAGTAATGGCAAACTACTGGACATAAATTTGCCTGGAGAAACCACACAGGGTTTGGGTTTGGTTCTGCAACGTCTTGTAAAGGATACGCAACTAACATTATATTTGGTATTTCTCATATTTTGTAATTGCCTTTATATACAAAAATGATCTTTACTAACAAAAACAAAAAAACAAAAAAAAACTTCCCTCTATTTATAAATAGGATTAATAACTACTAAAACAAACTATTGTCTCACCATTCTGGGCCACAGCACGCGTGGCCGAGTACAGCTAGTTTATAAATAGGATTAATAACTAACTATTGTCACGTTCCAGGTACGCTGATTGCAGGACTGTCCGTTCTATGCTGCTCTCACGTCCGCCCTAAAGACGACTCCAAGAGGCACTGTATATACGTCAACGCCGGTGTGGCTTTGATTCAGTTCATGTTGACGTTTCTCTTTCTTTTAGGGTGGATCTGGAGCATCATGTGGGGAATCGCATTCTTGTCTGTGTCCAGTGAGTATAATGACTAGTTCACTGTCTCTCCGTCTTTCTCTAGTATCAATAATTGATATTCCCGAGGCTAGCTGGATGTGGTCAAGGACCTTTGGGAGAGCGAGTGAACAGTGCGGAAGTACAATAGATAACCCCATTCTTCCCCTGTGGATTCCAGGGCTCCATTGGGGGGGGGGGGGAGGTGGAGGGAGAGACAAGATTAGAGCCACTGTCTCACTAACAAGCATGTCGTACAAGTCGACTAACTGGGGACTTCCTTAGAAGTCGGAGTGAATCTGCCCGAGCTGCAAGGAACAACAAACTTCACACAAATAAGCCAGTAAAATGGACGCTCACGCATAACTCAGGCCCTGGAACACAGCTAAAATCCAGATGGATGAACAACCAGGACTTTCCGCCCGAGCTTACAACCGGTGAGCAAAGAAGAAGATGAAGATCCCAGTCCGAAGACAATGATGCAGCTGGGAGTAAAAGGGGATCTGGGTTGTATTCAACACTCGGAGAAAAGGCAAGGCGGATATACAAGCAGATTGTTGCTGGCACCATCAGAACTAGAAGCTACACTGGCTAATCAAGATGGGGACATATCACTAATGCCAGTATCCCGAGTGATGTGATGTTAGTTTTGTTGAGTTAACCCAAATAATTCAGCAGGCTGTATTCGTTGACCTTGCCAACATATGTTTAAAGATTTTTCGGAAACACCTGCAACTTACTTGGCATCTGAAAATGTAAAAGCAGAGGATTAGGAGGGGTTGGGAAGATACTGATAACTGCATTTGTTCTTGCATATTGTCGCAGAGGTGCGACAGGTAGCAGACATCCCTAGAGCTACATGAAATTTTAGGAAAAAATTGACCGACTGGTGTGCAGAAGTGGGTCCTTTGATCAAACCAGAAAAAGTGGTGGTTTCAAAGTGACTTGTCAGAACTTATGTACCAAGCCTAACATTTATTGATAACCACATTAAAGGAGAAAGCAAACTGAGGTACCTACATATCACATTCGATAGAAGCCTGTATTTCAAGGATCATGTTGAGGTAGTTGCGGAGAAATGCCATAAGGGACCCAGTACACTGAAGCTCACTGAGTCTGTTGGACATGGAACAAAGAAGGCTGTTTACGATGTTGGAGTATGGGATTTTATCGGCGATAGATTATCGACGTGGAATGCTTAGTGTATCTAAGAGTCAGCTCATGAAACTTGAAAGCATATATGATAAACCCATGAAGGTATTCTGGTAAGTAAAAGAGATACCCCGGTGGTATGCAGGCGATATACACTTGTACTGCGGACTATTACAGATAGGCAGAAAGACCTGCAAGCTGAGTCATCTAAAAGTTGACACAGACAAGAAGCTCCTACTCCATAAAGGCATTGGTATCGTTAAAGATCACAGACAGAAAAAAGGAAGATCTTGAATCGTACATGTTGAAGACACAATTAGAAATGTGTGCAGGTTTGATAATATTTGGTGAGGAGACCACTGGGGCAAAGTGTCCGAGCAACAATCAGATTGCGCAGTGAGTGCAGAGACTGGCCAGGGGCGCTACAGAATCAGAAGTTGAACAAATGATTCATTACAATTCTTGTACAGATGACGTAATTATCTATACAGATGCATCTGCATTAGGGTCGGACGAAGTGCTGGGGATTCTTAGCAAAAAGGAATGGTATCGCTTAGCGCAACACATGGCATATGATACAGCAACATCTAATCTGAGAATAAGAGTGGACAGTCACAACAGCCTTCTGCTATCTTGAGAATCAGCTGTGTTTATTATGTCGTAATTATATCTGCAATGGCAAACTACTGGACGTAAATTTGTCTAGAAAAATCACTACAGGCAGAAAGTTCTGGGGTTGGTTCTACAACGTCCTGTGAAGAATACGCAAAAAAAAAAAAAAAAAAAGAATAAATTATAACTGACTCGCAGAGCATATTAAGAAAAGTGGAGACTGGTATGGTTTCTAAAGCGTGGCAAGGCTCGCTTCAGAAATTCCAGCGTAGTCGGCGTCCTTTGGATATTTTCTACAGTTCATGCCGGTGTGTTTGGAAAAGAACAAGCAGACTGGCTTGTTCAGCACCACTTTGTGGGAAACTGACGCATGACAAGGTAGATGTTGTAAGGTTTCTTTGGGAACGTGTGAGGCACATGGTGTCAGAAGAAAGGCGCTGCGGGGAGTGACCAGTGGATGTGGCTAACGCTCAACACTCAGTGGAAAGACGAGACGGATATGCATTCAGACTGTTACTGGTGCCGTTAGGATTAGAACTCTGTACTTGCTGCTGAAGCTTGGTATGGAACGCTTATGGGAATGCCCAAAGTACTATGATGTCGCTTATTATTTGAGCATCCAGTATTCAAGTGCTGAGCATGTTCTCCAGCACAGTAGACTGTATGATGCTAATAAAGAAGCCACCTTGCCTGTGCCAATCTCAGTCAGAACAAAACTGCATTGCCCACGGGAAGATTTGGGCTGCCCGACAGATCTCATCCACACTACTGGTCTCCTGCTGTAAGGTAGTCTGGCAGAAGGATCAAAGAAGAAGAGGAAGCAGGCTAGGTCTATCATCTCTAATCTGTTCTGTACTAAAGATTAAATCTTGGATTCAGATTTCGTAAGCTAGCCGCCCACTTGTCAATATGCAGCCACAGCCGACCTCGTTTATTGTACAGTAAAGTATTCTTTTCCATGTTTTTTGGGCGTATTGGGGTAACGGTGTCAGTCCATATATATATATATATATATATATATATATATATATATATATATATATATATATATATATATATATAAAGAAAAATCAGCTCCAGGTGGGCAAAATGATCACTATTCTATTCTTCTTTACTTCCCAGAGCATCTTTGGCTGAATTTAAATAGAAGTTGTGGTCGTTGATTTTTCGCAACCAAATCAGATCCTTACAGTTGCAATAATACAGTAGTTAGAAGCGTGTATCTCGATCAGATGACACTGGGTTTGAATCCGCATCAGAGCAATTTTATAATTAACTAATGCTTACACTAAATATTTCACATTAACTAGTATTCACAATAATTCCTTTAAGTCATCTATTATAGTATTTGTTAACATGGCTCGCACGAAATTATTTAGTCATTATTTCTTAAATGTATTATGTTTTATAGGCAAAATACATCAGCATAGGTTCGCAGCCCACTTCACTGAATATCCTCTGGTGGTGATCAGTTCGAATCTCCGTCAAAGTGTGTGCTTTTGTTTCAATTGAAATAATATGCAACCTAAATAAATATGGTAGCATGAAATTATTTTTTTTTTAAAGTAAAACTATCACCTTAGTACCAAGTAGTCAGTACAAACTTTGACCTTGGCCTGGCGAGACCTGCATGATTTAAAGTATTGAAACATACATCATAGATTATATTTTTATAAATAAAGATATATCATAACCCACTGACAGTAGCTAAAAATGAGTAGCGTCTTAGTATTTCACATCTTTATCATCATCCCCCTCTTCTTCTTCTTCTTCTTCTTTTTCTGCTACTACTGCTGCTTATGATGATGATGATGATGGTGATGATGATGATGATGATGATGATGATGCGGCTGCTGCTGTCCCTTATCCCTTACTGGCACATAACTCATCAACCAGTCAGCTTCAGTTCCTTTTTGCAGCATGTCTTCTATATAATCAATATCTTTGAACTCCTCTAATTCTCTTGTATGCGGGCGGGGGGGGGGGGGAGGGGTTCTGCCTTTATTTAGAAAAAAATAACCATTCTCTCTCACTTTGGCTATTCACAGAACAATATTACTACAGGCATCAAGACGAACAAAGTGCGCAAGAACATAACGGTGTCAATAAATCGTCTTCAGAACAGAATAACACTTCCACACCAAACCTCAATGTAAAGACAAAGAACAATTATCAACATCGTCTTGACAGTAATCCTCTAGAAAAGAAATCAAATAATATTTCTAAAGTCCATCGTTTGTCAAGCAGAACGTCTTCGCTGGAATCTCAAAGTTCTGGGGTGAATCCACACTGTACTGTAACAAATCTGGCTACTAGCAGAGTGGCCGACAAACAGAAAGCCGCATTAGATCAGGCTACTTTTTGTGAATGCAGTGACGCCTATCAGGTGAGACCGGACACAATGCCTCCACAACCAATCATTGCACTCCAGAAGGCATCGGTGAGTAACCTCTTTGAGGCCTCCCATACAGTTCATCCAGCTTCATCGGGGGAGACAATTATGAAAGCCACAACTCGGCATATGAAAATGATGCAGCGTAAGATGAGCAGCAATGAGTTGTCGCCCTTTGCGCTAACACACAAGCGACTGGAGGCAATAATCAAACACGATATCCCAGTTATTGCTCCTGACAATCGACATACAGGCGAACCTCAGGTCCCTGGGGAGGGCCTGCCAAAATGCTAACATTTGAAAACAAGATGTGATGAGGACGTATACCAGTGTTCGTTTTGTCGGGGAGGATGTGACTCCCTGTAAATCAGTGTGGCTCTCAACCTTCCTAATGCCGTGACCCTTTAATACAGTTCCTCATGTTGTGGTGACTCCCAGTCATACAATCGTTCTCGTTGCTACTTCACAACTTCAGTGAATATGTGTTTTCCTGTGATCTTTTGCAAACCCCTGTGAAAGGGTCGTACGACCCCCAAAAGGGTTGCGACCCATAGGTTTAGAAAGGCTGCTGTAAATATAGAGACGGCTAAAATAAGCATTTGACCAAAAGACAGACTTAGAGAAAGTTTGCAATATTTCTTCTTCTTCACGTTAACGTGTTGTAAACTCCGACTGAAAGCTAAGGTTATTTGTCCACCTCCTGACTTTCGGTCTTGTTCAAAAACCTAAGTGCGTCGTGCATATCCGTTTAACGGATATGTCTTATATGTATGCAGACTGTTGGTTCCTTGCTACTTGGGCAGATGCACTCTAACGTTAAAGGGTACCCCCATCCCCAATAAGTCGTCTCCTACGACATGCTTGCTTAAGCAGTGGGTCTATTCTTGTTTTCTCCACCATGGAACTCCTGAACCCACACACGGAAATTTTGCAATACTAGATTTTATACTTGCATGCAATGATTGCAATAAATTACCATTGACTTTCACGTTAGATGCTCTAATCTAAGTGGTTGCCCTTTGCGTTCTGATAATTTGGCAACATTTTGCCAAAGCAAATATAGTAAGTAAATGACACTTTGACCCAAGTGGCGCTTCAACCATACGATGCAGAGTCCTATTTTATAGACCAATCGGCATTCTATGAGCGATGTAATCAACATCACGCCGGTCGCCTTTACTGCCCCTGATTTACCCTGTTTAGGCTGGGTCTATCTGAGAATCAAAACCTGAAATCCTGTTTTAATAACTTGGTCATCGTGTATGCCAGTGGTTTTTTTTTACCTCGGTTATTGCCAATCATTTCGTCTAAAGGTGATCTTCAATGTCCTAATACCAACTACATGGGGAGGGCGCGTTAGCGCAGTCGATAGGAGACTCGCTTTCAAATCTAGCTGCGACTCGCTGCAGCCCAAGGCCAGTATTTGAAACCAGGCTGATCCGGGGGTTCACCAAGCCTCTAGGTAATGGGTACAGGAGTTAACACTTTGGGGTAAATGGAGGAACGTCGCTGTAGCTACGGAATTGCGTGCGGATGGCGACACAGGTGGAGAGTTTCTTATCAGCTGTCCGTACTGGTGGCAGAGCACTTATTTTTTATAACAGTGTGCAATGACACTGGTTCACATCCCTCGACTTTACCTTTACAAAACTACACATCTTCTCACTTCATCTTCTATTGTACATCTCCCTTTCAAATTTCCTTTTGTATTGAAACACTATAGTTTTCACGCTCTCACAATATAAAAAAGGGTCTACGCTGTCGATACTGGTACAGAAATGCAGTTCTCTCTGGGGGAAAAAAAACACTTATTTTTACAAGATATCCTCTTTACATTTGTGTTTGTCTAGTGTCTTTGAGTTTTCCTCTGTAAAATCACATACAAACACCTTCCACATAATTTCCCATTAATCAGGCGGATGTCTATGATCCAATTAGGTACATCAGATTCTATTTCCCTTCTGTACTGCCACTTTAAGGTATACCCACCCCTAAGACCAAAACTTCTTATTCCTCATGACTGACTGACTGACTGACTTTCTACCCCACCAGGACATCACACAAGCGATAAACACCCGATGACACAATGTGCCACCATGTGGGTGAGGATCACCGTGGAGAGGTCCCAGAAACAGCGTTCAGCCTTTAGGCCATATTTATGGCCAGGCTATATTGCGGCCCCTGGCAAAAGCCAGAGCAGGGCTTCAAATAGAGAAAAATTTCATCCTGAAAAGGACGAAAAATGTGCTAGTGACATTCCTCATGGCAAACTAACAGGGAAAATCCCAGATACCCGTTCAACCTACAAAAATGAGGCCTGATTTGAGCACGTAAATGGCTATATCAAGTGGTTTTTTCCTGCGATCCTATGGTCTTTCTCCCAGCAATTAACAAACATTGCATATAATATTCTTCTTTCCCGGAAATGGCCCATTTGCGTTGGTTTTTCTATATTATACATATTAAACGTATTTCATACATCTTATGTCTGCATTTATCAGCTGAAAATGTCACCTTATCATTTATGTCGAAGATGCCATATCTCAAAGAGACACTATCCAATTTGTAAGAATTATGCAAGTAGTTTCCCTTTGTTAGTTTTCTTAGAACTTTTCCTGCTTCCTGTTCCACTATTGGCACAGTAAAACTGGTATTAAGAACTCTATAGGAAGTAAAGTCGGCCATTCTAATATTGAACAAATCGCTCACATAGTTCGGGATGGTCGATAAGTTCAATTACAGAACTCATTCCTTGTGGCAGGTAAGTGAGTAAGTAAATTACACTCCACCGGGAAATCACACAGAGCGATAAACACCCCGTGACACAGAGTGCGACTATGTTAATGAGGATCACCCGTGGAGAGGTCCCAAAAACCGCGGTTCAACCGTTAGGCTATATTGCGGCCCATGGTAACAGGCAAGGTGGGGCTTCAAAATAACGAAAAATTGCATCCCACAAAGATATGACTAGTTACAGGTTATAGTGGCAGGTGAAACGGTTTTTAGTGTATGGCTCAATTGGTTAAAGTACAGTATGCATTCCTAATATTAGCATAAAGCCTTTATAAACCGAATTATTTTATCTATATTATCGGTGTTTACCTAGGTTGGCTTGGCATCATAGAAGAAACCAACATTGAAACAACTCGGAGTAGATACATGCACGATAGGCGCATTTTTTTTTTTTTTTTGGTCATCATAAAACACCACCCCGGCTCTAGTCGGTGGTCCTAAAGTAATCTAACGGTTGAACGGGGATTCATGGACTTTTACCCGGGTGATTCTCGTCTGAATAGTTGCATTTTGTGTCACCGGGTGTTTATCGCTCGTTATACGGTACCGGGGGTGTTAAACGTCACACACTTATTCACCTGCAGGTCCAAAATTCTTGGATTCGAATTCGCATCTCTGTACGTTTTTAAAATTCGTCTAGGAGTTGAGTTGTTCAAGTACTGATATCGAGGTACTTGGGGCATTCCCATAAACGTCACATCCCCATATTCAGCAGCCAGCACAGGGTTGCACTTCCAACGGTGCCAGTAGCATTCGGATTATACGTACGTCTTGACTTTCCTATGAGCTTCGAGTAGCAGACAGATGCCCTCGTCACTACCCGCTGCATCATTCTGACCAGACTGTGGAGATCCATCTGTTCCTGCCAATTGTTATCCAGCTGGACTCTAACCACGTCTGCCTTATCATGCATCATCGTTCCACCAAGCTGTGCAGAGCCAGCCAGTCTAGGGTCGTATGTCTACTCCATCAATATCTGTTAAAAGGAAATAAAAAAAGGGGGGGGGGGGGGGGGGGGGGGAGAGAGAGAGACGCTAATTGCAGTTGACTTTAAACCGAAATGTGTTTAATCTGTGCCGTATTCGTTTTATCTTAAAAGATCTGAACATCAAGGAAGATTGCCTAATAAACAGCATCCTTTCTCAATAGCTTAAATATGTTGGTCATATCTAGCCCCACGACGGATTGGAAAACATTATAGCAGAAGGCATGGTACCAGGAAGGAGAGGCAGGGGCCGACCGACATGAAGATGGGCACAGGATATAAGTGACTCCTCGAGTGTGAAAGTTTCTTTCAGGCAGACTGATGAGAGCGACGTTCTGCAAAGAACCTGCTACATGATGATGATTTGTTTTATAAAGGTTACATAGTCCACTGTATTTGTTGATATTCCTAAAAAAATCAGCCCCAATAAGGGAGGCAAATTTCGGTTTTTCAACAGCCCCACCCCGTCTGTTGTTGAGAGTTCTAAAATAATCTAACGGCTGAATGGGGTTTTCTGGGTCTTGTAACAAGGTGATTCACATCTAAATAGTGACACTTTGTGTCACCTCTATGTTTATCGTGCGCTCCTCGTGGAGCTGAACGTCACTTACTCACTCTTGTATATACTGAAATCTTACTACGAATCTGGTGTCCAAAAAATTAATAATACATTTTTAAAATTAGATTTTCAGCTCTTTTCAAAGATCTGCCGCTCAAAGGACGTTCACATTTATCAGCTAATACAGTAGGCGAAAGAATCCCAACAATGTTTAGGAAGCACTGTCAACCCCTCCCCCCCCCCCACCCCTTTAACCCCAAGAACCATGTACGGACGTCCTCTTTTTTTAGCATGTGTTTATAACTTTCATATTATTCTAAATGTACTGTTATATGTATTTGGAGTTTGGCAAAAAT